GATAAGGTTGAGAAACAAGCTCAATCTGAACAGCAACTGGAGAGAAAATTTAAAAAACAGAAGGAGAGCCTAAGGGAGATTTGGGACAACATGAAACAATGTAACATATGCATAACAGGGCTGCCAGATGGACAAGAAGAGCAGCAAGGATTAGAAAATCTATTTGAAGAAATAATGACAGAAAACTTCCCAGATATGGGGAAGAAAAAAGTTACACAAGTACAGAGAGTCCCAAGCAAGATGAATACCAAAAGACCCACACCAAGACATGTCATAATTACAATGGCAAATCTTCACGACAAAGAGAGAATCATAAAGGCTGCAAGAGAGAGACAGAGAGTTACCTACAAAGGATCCCCCATCAGATTAACAAATGATTTCTCAACAGAAAAACATCAAGCTAGAAGGAAATAAAAGGAAGTATACAAAGTGTTGCAAAGCAAAGGTCTGAATCCAAGAATTCTCTATCCAGCAAGACTATCAATCAAAACTGAAGGGGAAATCAAGAGCTTCACAGATTAAAAAAAGGCTAAGGGAGTTTATTATTACCAAGCCAGCAATGCAAGAAATACTAAAGGGAATGCTGTAAAAAGAAATGAAAAGGTAAGAAAGAACACAGGCACAAAAATAGAAATGACTACAAACAAGTACCTTTCAATAATAACTTTAAAAATAAATGGACTAAATGCTCCAATCAAAAGACATTGAGTGGCTGAATGGATAAAAAAACATGACCCATACATTTGCTGTCTACAAGAGACCCACCTCAGAAGAAGGGATTCAGACAGACTGAAAGTGAAGGAATGGAAAATTATCTCTCAGGCAAATGGAAATGAAAAAAAGCTGGGGTAGCAATACTTATATCTGACAAAATAGACCTCAAAATGAAGGCCATAACAAGCGATAAGGAAGGCTACTTCATAGTACTAAAGGGATCTATACAACAAGAGGATATAACCCTGATAAACATATATGCATCCAATGCAGGAGCACCCAAATACATAAAAAAAAAACTCCTGGAAGTTATCAAGGGAGAGATTAACAACAATACAATCCTAGTAGGGGACTTAAAGACACCACTGACATCACTGGATAAATACTCTAGACAAAAAATCAGCAAAGAAACAACAATCCTAAATGACTCTCTAGATCAAATAGACTTAATTGACATCTTCAGAACATTTCAAAACAAAGACAAGGAATATACATTCTTCTCAAGTGCACGTGGGACATTTTCAAAAATAGACCACATATTGGGTCACAAGCAAAGTCTCCCCAAATTCAAGAAGACTGAAATCATACCAAGCATCTTCTCAGACCACAATGGCAAAATATTAGAAATTAACTACAATAAAAACAATCCAAAAAACTCAAACACTTGGAAGCTGAATAGCATGCTACTAAATAATGATTGGGTTACCAATGAGATCAAAGAAGAAATTAAAAACATCCTGGAAACTAATGACAATAAAAACACAACAATCCAAAATTTATGAGACACAATGAAAGCAATCCTGAGAGGGAAGTTTATAGCTCTACAGGCCTACCTCAAAAAAAACAAGAAAAAATGATAGTAAATCATCTAACTCTACAACTCAAAGAATAAGAAAGAGAGCAACGAGAAAAGCCCAGAGTGAGCAGAAGGAAGGAGATAATAAAGATCAGAGCAGAAATAAATGACATAGAGACCAAAAAAATAATACAAAAGATCAATGAAACCAAGAGCTGGTTCTTTGAAAGGATAAACAAGATTGGTGAACCTCTAGCCAGACTCACCAAGAAGCAAAGAGAGAGGACCCAAAAAAACATAATCAGAAATGAAAGAGGTGAAATAACAACGGACCCCACAGAAATTCAAAGGATTGTTAAAAAATACTATGAACAACTCTACCCCTTCAAACTAGACAGCCTGCAGGAAATGGACATATTCCTAGAAAAATACAACCTTCCAAAACACAATCAGGAAGATTCTAAAAATCTCAATAGGCCAATAACTATGGAAGAAATTGAAGCAGTCATCAAAAAGCTCCCAGCAAACAAAAGCCCGGGGCCAGATGGCTTCACAGGGGAGTTTTACCAAACATTCAAGGAAGAACTAAAACCTATCCTTCTCAGAATATTCTAAAAAATTCAAGAGGAAGAGACACTTCCAAGCTCATTCTATGAAGCCAGTATTACCCTAATACCAAAACCAGATAAAGACAACACAATGAAGGATAATTATAGGCCAATATCCCTCATGAACATAGATGCCAAAATACTCAACAAAATTCTAGCAAATCGGATCCAGCAATACATCAGAAAGATCATACACTATGATCAATTAGGATTTATCCTGGGAATGCAAGGATGGTACAATATCCACAAATCAATCAACGTGATACATCACATAAACAAATTGAGAGATAAAAATCACATAGTCATATCAATTGATGCAGAAAAAGGATTTGACAAAATCCAACACCCTTTCTTCATAACAACTCTCAGCAATGTAGGAATAGAAGGATCATACCTCAACGTAATAAAAACCATATATGACAAAACCACAACCAACATCATACTCAATGGTCAAAAACTAAAACCATTTCCCCTAAGAACAGGAACAAAACAGGGATGCCCACTCTCACCAATCCTGTTCGACATAGTACTGGAAGTACTAGCTATTGTGATCAGACAAGAAGAAGAAATAAAAGGCATCCAAATTGGAAAAGAAGAAGTAAAACTATCCTTATTTGCAGATGATATGATACTGTACATAGAAAACCATAAAGACTCCATCAAAAAATTATTAGACTTAATAAAGGAATTCAGCAATGTAGCAGGATACAAAATTAATGCCAGGAAATCTATGGCATTTATTTACACCTATAGTGAACTTACAGAAAGAGAAACTACAAAAGCAATCCCATTTATCATTGCACCCAAAAAATTAATATATCTAGAAATAAACTTAACTAAGGAGGTAAAATTCCTATATGCGAAAAACTACAGGACACTGAAGAAAGAGATAGAGGAAGACATAAACAGATTGAATAACATACTGTGTTCATGGATTGGTTGAATCAACATCATCAAAATGTCCATAACACCCAAAGCAATCTATAGATTCAATGCAAAACCTATTAAAATACCAACGGCATATTTCACAAATATAGAATGAACATTCCAAAAATTCATGTGGAATAAAAAAAGACCTCGAATAGCTGAAGCAATCCTGAGAAAGAAGAAAAAGTTGGTGGGATCTCAACACCAGATATCAAGCCATATTACAAAGCCACTGTTCTTAAAACAGCTTGGTACTGGCACAAGAACAGACATATATATAGATCAATGGAACAGAGTAGAGAACCCGGAAATTGACCCAAACCACTATGCTCAATTAATATTCGACAGAGGAGGCAAGAGCATACAATGGAGTCAAGATAGTCTCTTCAATAAATGGTGTTAGGAAAATTGGACAGATACATGCAAAAAGATGAAACTAAACCACCAACTTACACCATACACAAAAATAAACTCAAAATGAATAAAGGACTTAAACGTAAGATGGGAAACCATAAAAATACTTGAGGAATCCACAGGCAGCGAAATCCACAGGCAGCGAATATGCCGAAGGAATTTCTTCACTAATACTGCTCCTAGGGCAATGGAAACTAAAAAGAAAATAAACAAATGGGACTACATCAAAATAAAAAGCTTATGCACAGCAAAGGAAACCATGAACAAACCAACAAGAAAGCCCACTGCATGGGAGAACATATTTGCTAATGTTATCACCAATAAGAGTTTAATCTCCAGCATTTACAGGGAGCTCATACAACTTAATAAAAGGAAGATAAACAATCCAATCAAAAAAGGGCAACGGACCTAAATAGACACTTTTTGAAAGAGGACATACAGAAGGCCAAAAGACATATGAAAACATGCTCAAAGTCACTAATTATACGAGAGATGCAAATTAAAAGAACAACACGGTATCATCTCATACCTGTCAGAATGGCTATCATCAACAAATCAACAAACAGCAAGTGTTGGAGAGGATGTGGAGAAAAAGGTACCCTTTTGCACTGTTGGTGGGAATGCAGACAGGTGCAGCCACTGTGGAGAACAGTACCCAAACCACTATGCCCAATTAATATTCGACAGAGGAGGCAAGAGCATATAATGGAGTCACTAAAAATGGAACTTCCATTTGACCCAGTGATCCCACTTCTAGAAATATATCCCAAGAAGCTAGAAGCACAAATCAGAAAAGATATATGCACCCCTACGTTCATTGCAGCACAATTCACCATAGCTAAGATTGGAAACAGCCTAAGCGCCCATCAGCAGATGAGTGGATTCAAAAACTGTGGTACATCTACACAATGGAATGCTATGCTGCTGTAAAAAAAGGAGTTACCATTTGCAACAGCATGGATGGAACTGGAAAGCGTTATGCTAAGTGAAATAAGCCAGTCAGAGAAAGACAAATACCACATGATCTCACTCATTTGTGGAATATAGTGAACAATATAGGCTGATGAAAAGGGATAGATCCAGAGACAGAGAAACAGCAATAAGACTGTCAAACCTCAGAGGGAAAGTAGGGGAGGGTGGGGGTAAGGGGGAGTGATCAACCAAAGAACTTGTATGCATACATATAAGCCCAACCAATGGACACAGACAACAGGGGGGCAAGGACATGAGTGGGGGGGAATGAGGTCACATATGTAATACCTTAATCAATAAAGAAATTAAAGATTGAAAGAAAATAGGACATTAGGCCTTCCAGGTAGAGCTTATTGATGAAGTACAAGAAAAATAAGGGAATTTAGAAATATTTTAAACTGAAAAAGCCCAAAACTACACAGTTATAGACACTTGAAATTCTTAAAAATAATTTTCTTATTATTTTTAACTAGTTTTTTTTTTTTTAATGGTCTTTCAGGATTAGAAGTAAATCTGGAGATATGTAGGCACACATTTTCTGAATTGCTTATTTTTTTTTTTATTTCTAGAGTTATTAGCCAAATGATACTTTGTTGTCCTCATGTACTAAAAGGTAATCATGACTTAATTTACAATGATAATTCACAGAGGCAAAAGTCTGATAACATTATAAATAAAAATGAGTGGATATCCCTGGGAAGATACTTCTGCTAAACATTATATAATGTGAAACATCCCTTCATCAAAGTCATGCTTTTTTCAAAAAGGGTGAAAAAAATCATGTAAGTTATGTACTCTTTGTTGAAGTGGCACATTATACAGAGCTCCAAATGCCACAATGTAACAAAATATTTTGCAAATGGTGAAAATTCATTATGATACATGGAAAATAACTTTCTGTTTTGTCTGTTACCAATGAAAGTCTCATGTTTGTGAAATTAACTATTCCAAAAGAAAATCTACACACTTAAGTGATGTTTATTTAAAATTTTATACTTTTCTGCTTAATTGTGGTCTTCTGTCTGATGCTGGCCATAGTTTCAAAGTTTTTCTGACTACAACTATTTAATTTTAGACACACCTGTGAGGAAGATACAAGACAATAAAAGAGTTCAAGGTAAATGTATTAACTATAGTAATGTACATATGTAACACATGTGTTGTTAAAAGAAACCAAAGAAAAGGAGAGTGCTTTCATATATTTTATTGTACTTTGTTGTCTATTAGGGAGAACAGTTAGCCAATGGGGGTAGACTATTTTGATAGCAAGAAGATAAATTGTTTATATTCTGCACTATTAGTACAATCTAAGAATAACAAATATTAAGGAAAAAGTAATTATACTCATCTAAAGTGCTAGATACATTGAACCCCGTAGGAAAACTCAAATAGAGTTAATATGGAAAGAAATCCTTAAATATCAGAGCTGAACAAAAGTAAGAAAGGAGGATTTGAACTTTGTAAAATGTTATTTTTTGAGATGAGACTAGAGTTGAAGTATAAACACTGTCCACATACAGGTGATTGCTAATATAACTGTTCAAAATATTGATATCATGTGTAGATTACATATACATAATTTACATCCCATGTGCTACCATATTCTTTATAACTATGTTTATGTGCACTTTCTAATCTTCCACTTAGGTTACCTTACATTCTAATACATTAAAAAAATCAAAGATTCCCCTTATGGAACTTGGAATAAATTATAAATTTGGAGTTTCTAAAATAATTACATACTGGTAGTCAAAAGAAGTTACAAGTCTTACAAATGCATTATGGGCATATCTGATTTTAAGCTAATCCAATACAGACATTTGAAATTAAATAATCAATGGTACATGTAATTTTTAATTAAAATTTATCAGGGATTTCTTCTGAACTTTCAAATTCATTCAAATTTTCTTGGGAACTAAAATCACCACTTTAAATTATCATTTTCATATACTTTTATACAAAGTGTAACCTTGATTTTATCATCATAAATGAAGGATATTAAGAAACTAGAGGCCCAGTGCTTGAAATTCATGCACTCAGCAGGGGGGTGGGGAGGAGGGTCCCTCAACCTGGCCTGTGCCTTCTCGCAGTCTGGGAGCCCTCAGAGTATGTCCAACTGGCGACTTAGGCCTAAGCTGCCAGTCAGACATCCGTAGCACTGCTGTGGAGGTGGGAGAGGCTCCCACCACCGCCGCTGTGCTTGCCAGCATGAGCCCAGCTTCTGGCTGAGCGGTGCTCCCCCTGTGGGAGTGCACTTACCACCAGGGGGAAGCTCCTGTATTGCATCTTCCCCTTGGTAGTCAGTGCACTTCACAGAGAACTGTTCTTCTGCTGGTCATTCCACCGTTCAGTCAATTTGCATATTAGCCTTTTATTATATAAGATATGGTCTTTTATAGATATAGTTATACATAGAATATCATATTTTTAAACTTTAATATTTCATTACATTTATTATCTATATGTTCTCTTTTCTTCCTAATCAGGATCTAGAAGACGATCAAGAGAAGATCGTTCTCAGTGAAAATCCAGACAAGACGACATAGTTTATACAACCCTAAACCCTGACATTAAAGAATTATTATGAAAGCCACTTTGATTTCAGGAAATAAACCATCACTGCAAAAAAAAACAATCATTGAACAATTCTGAATGCAAATTTAATTCTTTTTAATTAGGAAAATGAGGGAAATGTGGACTTTACAATCTCAATTGTGAGATGGGAACTGAGGGAATTCAAACACCATACAGGTTTTTACATCTTGACATTAAACATTCTGACGAACTTTGGGATCCATCAAAGAAAATCCTTATCACTGGATCCATTACAATTCAAATCTCAGTGGTGAGCCATTATCTGATTCAGAAAATTAAGCCTTGAATTTATTTAGTGGATAGACAAAATGTATGCAATCAGTTACTTCTCCATGAAAAGCTAACTTATAGAAAAGGGTGCTCAATATTAAGAAAACAACCCTAGCCAGTTTGGCTCAGTGAATAGAGCATAGGCCTGAGGACTGAAGGGTCCCAGGTTCAATTCTGGCCAAGGGCGCATGCCCAGGTTACAGGCTTGATCCTGAGAGGGTGGTGTGCAGGAGGCAGCCGATCAATGATTCTCTCTCATCATTGATGTTTCTATCTCTCTCTCTCTTCTTCTCTGAAACCAATAAAAATATATTTTAAAAATATAAAGAAAACAAACAAAACTTTTACATCAAAAGGTTTTGCACATTTTTAATGCAATGTGGGTTTACTGGTAAATTATGTATTTCTACAACTCATTTTATACTCTTGAAATATTTGTCATATGCTGTTTGCAGTACATATTTTTATATCAAATATTTCAATATAACCATACATTTTTCAGCTATAAAGAGAATTACTTCAAATTGGGTAATTCAGAAAACTCAAGATTTAAATTAATAAGTGGTTTGGACATGGATTTTTATACCTCCTTTGTTGTAACAAATACTCATTAAAGGAAGCTGAATAAATTTAGTGCTTCTTGAATTTTTAAAACTATTGCTTTGAAAAAGAATCATTATATAATAAATCAATTATTAAACATGAACTGAGTACCTAATATAACCCCAGAACTGTACTAAATTGCGAGGAGCAAACGATGAATTACACAGTCACTGTCCTCAAAGGGTAGAGACAAATCACCAATAACCCATAATGCACCATGGCCTTTAATCAGCACTATACAATCACAAATACATCAATTATTTTTTTCTATGATTGAGCTAGACATAGGAGTAACCACAGAAAGCTCTGAACTGAAACTGAAGTAATATTAGAGTCCATTGCATGGCAAAAGAGGGAAGAAAAATATTTGTTTGTTGAGAATGATAAAGGTATCAGATTAATCTACCCAGATCTCAATAAGTGTCATTCTTGCTTGGACTAGTTGATATAAGAGCATTTATGAAATAGAATGTATACTCATAAGAAAATGATTAGTGATTGTGTAATAAAATTATATCATGCATTGGAAATCAGTCATTGGGAAATTATAAAACTAAGGAGGGCCAAACTAAAGATATCAGTCTTGACTATACTTACCCAACTTGGATCAGAGGTTCAGTTCTAAAGTACCACTACAGGACCTGGAAACTTTTTGGGTAGCTGAGGAGCAATTTGGGTGAGGAAATAAGACATAAAATTTTGATAATATTGCTTGGAGAAGAAGTGTTTGATAGCCTTGTTTTTCCAGAATGCTTTCTAGTGTGGGCCAGTGGTAAGATCAATGTCTAGTATTTAGAGACCCTGCCAGGAAATAAAATGTTGTACCAATTCAGTACTCATATAATGAATCCTGGGACTTTAATGTCAGTTGGATGGGGTGTGGCTGTGATCTCAAAATGATTCAGAGGAGGTGGACATAAGATGGTAATGGTAGAAAATACTAAACTATCATTAACACAGATGGTTATAATACAAACACATAGAATATTGGTCAAGTTACCCTAGAACAGTGGTTCTCAACCTGTGGGTCGCAACCCCTTTGGGGGTCGAACAACCCTTTCACAGGGGTCACCTAAGACCATTGGAAAACACATATATAATTACATATTGTTTTTGTGATTAATCACTATGCTTTAATTATGTTCAATTTGTAACAATGAAAATACATCCTGTATATCAGATATTTACATTACGATTCATAACAGTAGCAACATTACAGTTATGAAGTATCAATGAAAATAATTTTATAGTTGGGGGTCACCACAACATGAGGAGCTGTATTCAAGGGTTGTGGCATTAAGAAGGTTGAGAACCACTGCCCTAGAAGCTCATGAGTTAATTAAATAGACAAATGGAAAATATATTTATTCTGTTAGCCCTCTTCAGGATTTTCATTTGATGATGAGCCAGGCATTCCAGAGCTGGAATTTGACAATTGTAATTCAGGACAATAAAAATGAGGTTGAAAGGTTGAGGTCTTTTTAAAGATTTCTAACTTAAAGACTTTTTTTAACCACAGAAGAAAAAGATAATAAGTATTCACTCATCTTATCTAATAAAAGAGAAATATGCAAATTAACTGTACCTCCACTACACTCACAAGACACGCCCACAAGCCACACCCACCAGCCAAGCAGAGCAACTATATGCAAATTAACCCAACCAAGATGGCGTCCAGCAGCCACGGAGCTGGAGCAAGCAGGAGGCTTGGTTGCCCTGGCAATGGAAGCCAAGCTTTGTGCCTGCCTTGGCCGGCTGTAGCCTCCACTCAAGGCAACAAAGTTTCAATTATAAAAGATAAATAAATTCCAGATACCTGCTTCCAGCTAGCCTCCACTGGCAGCTTGGGTGGCTGGGGGCCATGGCCAGCCTGCAAACAGCCATCAGCCCCTCACCCAGGTTGGCCAGGCACCCCAGCAGGAACCCCCACCCTGAAGGGGCTGTGACCAATATGAAAACAGCCCTCAGCCCCTCACCCAGGCTGGCCTGGCACCCCAGGGGAACCCCCACCCTGAAGGGGTTGTGGCCAGCCTGCAAACAGCCATCAGCCCCTCACCCAAGCTGGCCACACACTCCTATATAATAAAAGGGTAATATGCACATTGACCCTAACAGCAGAATGACTGGGAATGACTGGTCACTATGACACACACTGACCACCAGGGGGCAGATGCTCAATGCAGGAGTTGCCCCCTGGTGGTCAGTGTGCTCCCACAGCAGGAGCTCTGCTCAGCCACAAGCCAGGCTGATGGCTGCCAGTACAGCGGTGGTGGTGGGAGCCTCTCCCATCTCCTCAACAGCACTAAGGATGTCCGACTGCAGCTTAGGCCTGTTCCCCACTGGCAAGTGTACATACCCCGAAGGCTCCTGGGCTGCCAGAGGGATGTCTGACTGCCAGCTTAGGCCCGTTCCCCCAGGGACTGGGCCTAAGCCAGCAGGTGGTCATCCCCCAAAGGGTCCCAGACTGTGAGAGGGCACAGGCCGGGCTGAGGGACACCCCCCCAAGTGCACAAATTTTTGTGCACTGGGCCTCTAGTTTATTCATAAGCATAATGATTAATAATTGTCAGGTCTATGCACAAATCCCATACAAATGCATGGACACAGAATTCAAAAAGATACTAAATTTAATGCAGTATGCCATTTTTCTTAATTTGCTAAATCACTACAAACAGAAGATAAAAATTAATTAAAATGTTATGTTCTCATTATCTAACTGACTAAACATTAGTTTCTAAATCAAATTTGTTAGTTTTTATATTCATGTGTTTATTATTCAGGACAGAAAACAAACTTATAATAAGTTGAACAAAACAATATAATTACTAGTTTATATATTTGTAAATATATTTTAAAAATTTCTAAATTTAAAAAAATAAAAATAAAAACCTACAGACAAGAACCATAGAACTAGAACTGGAAATTCAATTCAAATACACACTGGCTCAGGAATTTTGGGGGTTTGTCTCTATTTGTTCCCATGGTATGAAACATGGTTACTGATAATTCCTGTTGGTACTCAAGAACTCAATTTTACCTAACCATACATGTTAAAATGTGCCATACCATTAAATTTTCATGCTGCTCATTCAAGTCTTACTCTCTTCATTAAAAATAGATTATCTTCATTACTCTCCTGTGTTATTTTGCACTTTCTCTGCTGACTTGAGCTGAGAAATCCCCAACATGTTACATGTTGTTGTACATTGTGGTAATTGTTTCTTAGGAGATGTCTGAGTCTTCATAAAGTTATGTGCATTATTATTACCACATTTTCTAACCCCAAGTGCCTCATCCGATGAGTAAACACATAACTCATGGAAGATCAATTAGTCTCCATTCTGAGGACTAAAATATAAAATCATTCTTTCTTCTGGGATTTCTGGATAGATTTATCAGTAACCATGTCCCATCTATATCCACAACTCAAGACAAGATATGAATTGTACAGAGGATTTCTGTAGCAGCTTCCCCATCTGTTGCTACAGATGTTGCTTCCATCCTAAGCAGCAATAGTGCTTTTACCTTATGTCCCTTGTACCTGCCTTCATTGCTTTTCTAAACAAATATCCTTGATCCAGGTAAGATAAAGTGATCCATGAAACCTTTTATTACAATTTTGTATTCTTAAAGTAATTTAATCTCTTAGAACACAAATCACTTCCAAAATATAAGAAGCATGTGAAGATATATATTAACTGTATTTAAGTGTCCTTTATTTATACCTGGGTGTTCTAAAAAATCACTACCAATTTCATTTATCCTTCCAACTATAAAATATTTTAAAGGAATGTATCATAATTTGAAGAGAAAACTATCTCTCCAACTTTAGATAATACTTGTTGGAATTTATTTTTCATACTCACCACCAAAAACATAAGATCTAACTTCTTAGCCAAAGGCAAATTTCCAAAGAACTATCAAATCTATATTGTCACAAACTGAGATTTATACAAGCTATCGTCTGCTTAGTAGAGTATTATTTTTCTTATGAATTTTAAACATTTACCCTAACACTTGCCACTGAAATTTATGTGTTTGTGGCCACCAGACACTTAATATAGCAGGTAACGATTTTCTGATATTTTGGTACTGAGAGTAGGAAAATTATCCATATTACAGAAGTTACAAAATATTTTATAATAGTAAATTTAGTAATGTTTTTCACAAGATGTGGTTGTTCTTGTTTGTTTCTTCTCACCCTCACCCTGATATTACATCTGGGAAGCCTCACACTCTAGTGGTAAAAGCACAATAAGGCCCAGCTTTTCTAGGGGTCATTTTGAATTAAAAACATGCCAAACTTTTTGCCCAGTAGTTTAGCTTGCTTTTTCAAAGGAACTGAATAGAGAAGCACATTATACACTTATTTAAAATGTTTACTATATAGCCCTAGTTGGTTTGGCTCAGTGGATAGAGCATTGGCTCACAGACTGAAGGTTCGATTCTGTTCAAGGGCAAGTACCTCAGTTGTAGGCTTGATCCCTGCCCCTGGTTGGGGCACATGCGGGAAGGCAACCAATCGCTGTGTCTCTCTCACATCAATGTTTCTTTATCTCCATTTCTCCTTCTCCCTTCCACTCTCTCTGCAAATCAATGGAAAAATATCCT